ATTTAGTTTTATCCAAATTCAGAGATAGTATATTACTATCACACCATTTCTTTATCTTCTCAAGTTCCTGTGAAACCCGTCCAAAGAGTTGCTGTAGGTTTTCACCCGATGCCCATACGGTAGTGTCATCAGCAAATAAAACCACTTTCACTAAATCAGAAACCTTGCATATATCATTAATGTATAATATAAATAATTTAGGTCCCAAAACAGAACCCTGAGGCACTCCACATACAATATCCAGCTCACTCGATTGGTATTCACCCAACTTCACAAATTGACGCCTCTGTGTCAAATAACTTCTAATCCATTTCAGAACCATTCCTCTGATCCCATATTTTTCTAACTTGTCCATTAATAATTCATGATTGATTGTGTCAAATGCTTAATCAGAAACAATTTTAATTAAAAATACAGAAATGTCAAATATTCACTGGTCTCAAATATGAGCATTTTCTAGTCTTCTTATGTGGGTTTTGGATTATTGGATGGACCAAACAGGCAGTAAGGCTTCCCCTAGAGCTCCTGTAAAAAGTGATGGGCATTTTGACTATTTTCTACCATTTATAAACTACCGAATACAATAAAAATTATTAGTGGCAGCCCTTAACTCCTTAGACCATAATTCATTGTGACCATAAGTTTATTTGCTACTTACTAGTGCTGGATAATATATTGACATAATATTGGTATAGGCTACTAATCCTCATCTTGGATATTTAATATTTTAAATGCTGCAGTACAGATACATTTCTTGAGCAGTCTGTTCAAATTGAGTGGAATGTACAAACATTCTAGTTGGTCCTCAGATGCACATTAATTAGAATTTTCTTTCATTCAGTGTTTATGCATGTAAATCTCATCCACACCAGGTGCTGTATTTAGTCAAAGCTGCAGCACTCCACTACTCAGGTAGCCAGCATTCCACACTGTTGGTAGATGACACGATTATCTTGTTTCCGTTTCATTTTCAGGTGTCCTTAAATTTGCCAGACTGGTGAAGATGTATGAAACCCAGGATCCTGAAATTGCAGCCATGTCAGCTAAACTGAAGTCTCTCCTCCTGCCACCTCTATCAACGCCACCTATAGGAGGCGCTATTACAGCTTCATAGGCTCCATTTACATTCACTGGTCAACTGCAAGGTTACTTTAACCCTATAAAACCATTTGTATCATATTTGATACGCAAGGTTTCTGAGCAAAAAAAAAAAAAAAATCACCAAAAATGCCCCATGTATCAAATGTGACACAAAAGAAATAGAAATAGTCTAAATAATATGGCACCTCTATTCCTATATGCCTGGGCTGTCTGTCTATGCATATATGGCAAATAAAAATCACGAATCTTGAATTTCAAATCATGAATTATATTTTGGATTTTGTTAAAAGGTTTAACATCTCAGTTCCAAAAAAATTGGAATGTTCTGCCTATTTTTTTGATATGTTGGGCTTTACAGGGTTAATTTAATGCTTTGAAACTTTGACCAAATTGTGATTTCAAGATCTTGTCTATGTTTTTTTTTAGATTACCACAAAGTTTGTATCATCCCAATACAACAAAGATCATAGCTTTTGTACAGTGTGGTTTAATGCATCTTTGCAAAAACTTAAAATTGTTTTTTTTTTAAATGTTTCAGTATTTATTTAACATCAACCATTATATTGCCATTGAACCTAAAACATTCTTTGCCATCTTTTATACCATTTTTACATATTGTCAAATGTATCATGTCTTTTGTTCTAAATTAAAATTAAAAAGGTTTTCTGTGAAATGTCTGGTATTAATGGAGAATATGTGAGGGGAAAAAATTATACATAACTATTATTACAATAAGTCTTTGGCACCTACATCTGTATATTACAATTTTTTTTTAAAGGTTTAAACAAAGTCTGGCTTCATGTCTGCCCCTTTTGTTTTAGTTCTAGGTGCCTGCAGACAACATGAATGGATCACAGCAGGATGATATTAGTTCATGATAATTTCATTTATCTTGACTAATAACTCAGGATGTAGATTCTTAAATCAGCCAGTTAAAAATACATCAAAAATAAGGTTGCATAAACCATAAATTGTCAACCGTTTCTTTTAAAAACCTCAAATAGTGCAAAACCAGTGCATCCAGTCTTGTGCATATTCACCCAGCAGCTTTTCAGATCCAGTGTCACTGCAATGTATGTAGAAAAATAAAAGCATTCCATGGACAAAATGCTGTTTCGTTTCTTTGATCTGGGCATGAGACACAAGCCATTTGTGTGTGAGAGAGACTGCACAGATACATGGACTTGTATCATGTCTAATATTGCAGACATTTTAAATAGTGTTTGCTCCTAAAGCTTGGGAGTAGACTCTGGGGGGAAATCCATTACCCTGTAGATGTCCGTTTCCCATTACCTTAATCTGAACCTACCCTCCACCATCATATGCTGCTTAACCTTACCCTAACCAGTTACCTCTGCCTACTCTCGAGCTTTGGGATCTGTTTACCCATTTTAAATCCTGGCTGGTGGGCTCATTATGAACAGTGCTCCATCTTGTGGTGAACAGTGTTTCAGTCCTTCACCACCAGTCAGTGATGGAAAAGAAGCAGGCACAAGAGCATGACGAGAGAATACAATTTCACATCTCAAAGTGACGGAAGATGCTTTCGACATAACCCAGGACCCTCTGCCAGTCTGGCCCGTCTGCCCTCAGCATCTCCTCCATTGTCTGGTAACAGGAAGAGATGACACTTTACATTGTTAGAGCTGCAAGTAAAAACCCATCTGTTCTAAGATGATCAAAGAAAAGTACAATAAACCAATCACAAATCTGAAGTGACATTGCAAATTAAAGTTGCAGGATTCAAAGGTCTCTGAATATGCTTAGCAAAACCTGTAACAATCAGAAGTGTACAGTGCCAAATGTCTCACCAGTGTGGCTGTGATTCCCACACCCTCTCCTGTCTTAAAAGCAAGGGCCAGATTTTCCTTCTGTAAAAAACAAACATTCAAGTAAGAGGCAGCTTGTAGATCAGCTCAGGTACATTTGATAAATTCTTTAGTTTTTGGTGACATTTTTGTTTTCTCTCTGGTAGTGTACTTCTTAGCTTTATACAGGGTGGGCCACGGAAAAGTAGCCCGCTTCCAAAACAATCCACTTGCTTGCAGGCTACTTTTCCGTGGCCCACCCTGTACCATTTAAGGTTATTCACTGGAATTGTTTAAACATCAAAAACTGGAAAAATGGTGGTGGTCAAAACCTCTCTTTCACTTCTTTGTATCTCTGAAGACTTATGAGACACATCCTTTTGTTTGAATTTTTTGTAAATTAACTTACTTAAATTTCATTATATGTCCTTATAATTAACTGTTTTACCTTGTTGGCTGGCTTGAGGCTGTCATATGGGATGTGAGTTGGTAAAAAGGTGTGATAAACAGCACAGAATGCTAAACCATCTTCCCAGCTGCTGCTGAAGTTGGTGATCTCAATATTCTGACACAAATCATTAAGAGAAGGGATCATTGGTTATAGGTTACCAGTGTTTCTTTGATGCTGAGTTAAAACTAAAAAACAATAACAGGCACTGTACTGGCAGCATTTTTAATTGTTTGCTTGTCTACATTAAATTCAACTCATTACAGATTGTGACTGTTCTAAAAACATTTCGCTAATGTTGCAGTTCTCCTCTCTAACCTTATAACCTTGGGTACGACTTTGGCACCAGCGCAGCAGGGAGTTTCTTCTGGAGCCACCATGACGCCTCAGCAGAGCACTGAAACCATCCTGAGGCCTGAAAACACCGGAAACCATGAAGGAGTTGAGTTATCAAGAATAACCAAGTTTATATTTCAGTTTTCTTAACAGTCACAAAGGGCTTAAAGAACATGAGTGGGACTACATGAAGAGCTATTTCTGCAGATTCAGTTGTGCAAAAGGTTGGAGATTGCTGATATTTGCGACTTTATGGCTAATTTCACAGTGCAACTCTCACTCACTGATGCTAAATATTTATCAATCTCTCTCTTACTCGCAGACCTCATTGTTAAGATGTCAGTAACCACAAATTTAAAGGTTCTAACAGAACACTTACATAATGGAATCTGAGGTCTGGTCATCCTGTTTTACTGCAAGACACAAATGCAATCACAGTTAACTCTGCACTTAAGCTGTCAAACAACAAAATGATGATTCAGTAGGCTTAGATTCACCTGTGTAAAAGCTGGACCAACTGTCCTGTCGTTGTAAAATGCGATTCATCCTTTTCCCTTTTGTTGGCTCTTCTTTCTGGAAGAGATTAGAAATGACACAATGGACTGATTCCACACAGGTCAACAACAATCATGTCAGTACCTTCAAAGTAATTTAGAAATCAATAACATATTACAAATAAATCTTGATACTGAAGTTTGTATTGGTTCCCTTAGTGTCATACCTTACAGAGCGGCAATGTTGCACTTGTGTTTTCTGAGGTCCCATTTTGTCTGGATGTGTCAGTTGGGAGGGGGAGACGAGACAGACTCCTAAAGACAAAGTGTGAATGTGAATTTCATAAGATTTTCTTGGAATGTAGGGGGTGTGAACTTTCATGCAGACTCACCAGGATCTTTCAGGCAGCATCACAATCCTCCTGGGCTCTCTCTGCCCACATCCCTCTTCTTTCTTCTTCTCTAGAGCACCTAAACTACGGAGGTATCCCTCTGCCACCCTCTTCCCTGTCATGGGGCCTAATCCATTTTCCACCTCAAAATCATGACCTGAATATTTAGTTTCCACATCTTGATTTGCTTCATTCTCCTTTTCCACATTTTTAGATTCACTCTCTGCTTCAGCTTCCTCCATAACATCATGTAGTTCCTCCTCAGAGTTCTGCCTATCTGCCTGCTTATCATAGTCTATGTCTTTCACCCTGCATGAGTTCTGCAGAGCCTCCTGCTTGGCCTGCTCCTTCTGTTGCTGCAGGATGACTTTATTCAGTCTACAACAGACATCTCTGTGCTCGGCTCTAAGGCTCTCCAGCTCTTTCTCTGTCTCCTGCTGTCTGCTGAGGGCCTGGGACAGCTGCTCCTTCACTGGCCTGTAGCTCTCTTGGAGTAAATCCAGGGCCTCCTCCGACTCGGCCCGCAGCCGGTCAGCCACAGACACTGCGACTTGCAGGTCAGACTGGAACTGATGCCACTCCAGCCTTTCTGTCTGTAATAGGGAGAAGAAAGAAGGTGAAATGGAAAATACTACAATGTCAGTTTACCTGCCTGTTCTTGATGTGGCCTTTGGAGTCCTGGAGATGACTAGTGCCTCTCATCTCTTAAAATATAAATATTTGTATGATTTAAGTCCTGTAATGCACAAGAAAGCAATTGATCTTTTCTCAACACAACTATTTGGGCTACTTGAATGTCACATGACAAATAGCAACTGACCAAAAGAAGAAAAAAACCTAACTTGAGTTTTTCAAAAATTTCCCTTGTCCTGAGTTTTCAAGGCTGCAGCTCAAGGTCCCAGGTGACAAAAGAAAAACAAGACCAAATCTCTCTTGTTCAGCAAATAAATGTCTTAGAAGTTCAGGAAGTTTTAGGGTCTAAGAGCACCACATGCAGTTGCTACTCACTGTTAGTGTCTCCTTCAGCGTGTCCACCTCCTCAACCAGCTTATCTCTCTCGCTTATCAAGCGCCTGAGCAGTTCTGACAGACAATTCCAACAAAAACAGCACAAGGTTGACTGAAAATCTTACTGCAAGTCAGACAGATGTAATCGGTACAGGTCCTGCCTATACATTCATTCACAAAATGGCAGGACTAAGATTAATGATGGCTCAGTTCCATTGAACCACACCAATGTGCAGTGTACTGTAATAACACATCTAACACCAAGGTTCTGGCACTGCATGGCTATCTAAAATTATTATTGGGCATGGCTGACCAAGCTGTCAGAAACGGACTCCAAGAGAGTGGTATGAGGGGCCTGACGCCCTCTAGTATGACCTGTGCTCACAGCCCAGCACCGTTCAGCTCGATTGACATTTGCCAGAAAACACCAGAATTGGCAGATCCGCCACTGGCGTTCCATTGTCTTCACAGATGAGAACAGGTTCACACTGAGAACATGTAACAGGCATGAAAGAGTCAGGAGACACCCTGGTGAACGTTATGCTGCCTGTAACATTATCGAGCATGACTGGTTTGGTGGTGGGTCTGGAGGGCTGCACAAACCTCCATGTCATAGCCAACGGTACCCCGACTACTGAGAGATACAAGGATTAAATCATCAGTGACTGTCAAACCTTACGCTGGTGCAGTGGGCCCTGGATTCCTCCTGGTGCACGTCAGTGCATGGCCTCATGTGGCCAGAGTGTGTAGGCAGCTCCTAGGTGACAAAGGAAGTGATGCCACTGATTGGCCCTCACATTCCCCTGACCTAAATCCAACTGAGTACCTATGAGACATTATGTATCAGTGCATCCAACGTCACCAAGTATCACAGGTTGTCCAAGAGCTCAGTGATGCCCTGATCCAGGTCTGGGAGGAGACCCCCCCCCCCCAGGACACCATCCACCAACTCTTCAGGATCATACCCAGACACTGTCGTGAATGCATACAGGTATGCTATGGCCATACACAGTTCCAAGTTGCATTATGAGTTGCCATTACGAAATTCATGCAGCTTGGATGAGCCTGTGATTTCAATTTGATTTTCAGTGTGATTTTGAATACAGACCTCCATGGGTTGATGATCATACAATGTACATTAAAAGTTTTCAACTTAAAATATGTGTGATTTAAGTGTTCTTATTTTTTTTTTGAGCAGTGCATTTTACTTTGGAGGAGAATCTTTGTTGGTGTTGTAATTTCTACTGATCTCCAACAGGTTAATAACTGTTTACTTAAAGCTCCTTTAAGAAAACAAAAAGATAAAAGGATAGAGCGCCTACCTACTGCTCCTGTGATAATATCGGTGTTGGGGGTCAGGCCTAGTGAGGCCCTGTAGTGCTCCATGAGACTGAGTAAAACCAGGGTCATCTCATCTCCAGCACACTCTGCTGCAGCCGGAGGCTCCAGTCTGCCATCTCTCTCCTGCCATCTCTGCTCTGAAGGTGATCCGGACGGAGGCAGAGACTCTGGGCTGTCCAGACTGATCGCTTCCTTCCCATGTCTCGCTGCTGCATCACTCGCGTTCGTGTCTGAGGAGGTGCTGTTGTCTAGGTTTATCACAGCCAATTCCGAGGTAGCAGACGGTTTCTGTGTCCAGTCTGCGATTGGAGAGGTGGTGGAGGGGGTGGTGCTGCTGGGTGTTGATGGCGTCTGTGCCTTATTAGAGGAAGCTGGAGAGGATAAGGCCATTGCAGTCAGATGAGCCTCCGAGGGTGTTGCAGGAGGCGTTTGGAAGAAATCTAAAGGAGAACCTGAGAGGAGGAAATAAACTGTAAAATAGACGAGCAGCATAAGACAGAAAAAGACAAATGAGAAAACTGTCCCAAGATTTGAAAGTGCCGAAAGAAGTCCCTGCTCCTCTTCTCCTCGTTGCAGATGTAAGAACTCAAGAGTCCACTCCCTTATTTACTGTCCTGGGCTGACTAATGCAGCAGAAAGCCTCTCCTGCTAGTGTGCTGGCTGGCAAACACACACACACACGCCAAGTGGCAAGATCCAGGAAGAGAGCTGACTCCAGCCTGATCTAGTATTAAACAACAGCTCTCACTGCTACCAACAGGCAATCACACTTATCAGCACTCCTCATATCTTACAGACATATTTCCAGAAATTCAGAGTAACACTGCTGCATTATTAGCAGTCTGGCCTTGCTCTTGGTTCATGAAATATCCTGTCACATATAACTGAAGATTAAAGCTACAGCTATGTGATTACTGTATGATGCTGATGTTTTGCAGATCACAGTGTACAGGATCTATAGGATCTCCACCTGCTTTGACTGAGATATTTTTGTGCTTCTCCTCCTTGCCCTTGTGTTATACTGCAGTATTCTGCAGACTCATCGTTTCCCTGGCGGCAGTGTGATGTAGCTTGCACAGCTATGACAGGGGAGCTATTCTCATCCTCCAGCCTGAGCCTACTTCCTGCATACTGACAGCCAAGAGAGATGGAATCCAGAAGCTCCATTTTAAACAGATGTAAATGAGACTTAAACTGAGCGAGCGGCCAACTGAATGTCCTCAGTTAGAAAACAAGACACGTAACGGGCAATTTCACACAGCCGAGCCACAGCTGCTCTGATACTTTGAAGTGAGGGACACAAACATGAGAGAGGCTAAAAGATCTGACAATGCTGAATCCAACTTCCACAGAATTCTCACTGCAGAGCTCTGATTCATTATTCGCTGTGTGCCAAGAAATGTTTTTGTAATCACAGAGTTCCAGGCTGCATAATTTCATTTTGACAAAAAGTGTGCACGTACATTAATCAGAAAGTAAGCGATGGTCACTTCTAGTCTAACTTTGTGATTTAGCCATATACAGGTGAAAACTCACACAAAAAAATACTATAAACAAATTTGGTTGAATATTTGACTCTTCTATATTATGGAGCAATATTTCTTTGTTCCTTAGAGAGACTTCAGTGCATGACATGCTTTCTGCTTTGGATATGGGCGGAGCCAGGGGGGGTGGCACCAGTCACTCCCAGAATCTGATTGGCCACCCCTGGTACCACCCCCACCAGAGTCAAAATGTGATGCTCATCAGTATTAATGAATGAAAAATGGAAAACTAATGAGAAATGGTCTTAAATACAGCTAACTTTTTTTTTCTGGTGCTTTATAATTGTTGATAAAACAAACAACCTCTGTGTTGTTGTCGAGTACTTGGCATGATTCGCCTCACTGTACAGCAGCAATGTCCCTGGCTGGGAGTAAATAAGGAGGGCAGCCAAAGTTAGCTAAAGAAAGCACTATGTGTGTCTCATTTTTACACCAAAATAAACACTTTGCGTCTTAATAATGTATGGTTTACCACTTCATAAAACTAGGGGTTTCATTTCATTTTTGTTTTTCAAATGTCTCCCCGCTCTGAGGCTGTGCCCCAACCTGGCTACCCCATCCATAATTTTCTAGGTCTGGCCCTGGCTTTGGGTTAACAAAATGAAATGATGCCTCTCCAGAACTTTACACTTTTTGTAATGCAAAAGAGTATTTCAGCTGATGCCTTCTTCCGTGTAAGGGTTTCTGCTACTCTTCTACATTACAGAAGAATAAAAACTTTAAAAGGACTTGTCTTTTGCTCTGAGTGCAAACAAGTTTCTTTTCGTTTGGGGTTACACATAATGAGACACTGAAGCAAAAAAATGAGCCTCTTTCTGTCCTGGAACCAGAAAGACTGTGGTCTAAAAATAGCCAGTCCTACAGTAAAATGACCAAAAATAAGAAAACTGGGCATTTGCAGTGCAGCAACCTAAAACAGTAGTATATATGCAACCGCCTGTTCTGTGAAAAAAGCATTTAAAAAACAATTGTAATTCAAAACAAAGCCATTTATTGTGCATTAATGTGTGTTGCTGTGATACCTGGAGGGTCATGGCTGTCTTTGCCCGTTTGGTTACCCATGATCTAGCAATGGTGGGTATCTGGACAGGCTGCTCCAGTGTCCTTCCCCGCGTCCTCTGTGTTGTGAGGCCCGCTGACGTCTGGACATGGGGGATGAATACAAATCTTTCACGAGTACAACACAATGCTGAACTTCTGATCAGTAGTACAAAAGGAGTCAAAGAAAAGTGCCTTCCATAGAAGACATGGTATCTTCTGAGGAAATCTTTAGTGCAGAAGCTTCTGACCTTAAACGTAAACACTCTCCCTAGTAAGACAATGTAATAATTAATAATTATCTGCATTATCAAATTAAAAACAAGCTACAGCACAAAGGTCACACTGTCAGCAGGTTTGTCATCTGCCTTAAGTTTTCATTGGCCAACTCACCTTAGCTGTTTGACTTCTATCAGGCCTCCACAAACATTCAGAGCTGACAGTTGTATGGCCCTTACAGAGAAAAAAGCCACAAGTTAAAATGAAAGCATCCTGTCCAACATCATAACCAGAAGCTCCCTCTGCAGTGCTATGAGGTTATACTGCATCACGTGTAGGACACTGCACTTAATATGATGAGCAAGAGAAAGCTCCCTTAAATAATCCACAGATTTAAGGTTGCTTATAAGACACAGATGCCATAAATAAGTTCGGTGATACACCAGTAGTAGCCTACAGCCAGACCAGATTCAATTCATGACGCACTACATTGTAAAATCATTTCATTTTTCCCACTGGATTACACAGCTGACATAGCCAGCACATATCCAGATGGGGTAATGCAGGACCAGGAGAAGAGACTACAACCTAAACTGTTTTAAATCAATACGCAGCCAAGCGATTAGCCGCATTAAAGTAGATGTCCTATTAGTGTGTACACTGCCTACAACATGTGTAGTTCTCAACATGTATCTGTTCACACAGTCAGGAAACTTTAAACTTCCGTTTTCTGAATGAAGTTTGGAGTCACACATAAAAGAACTACCCCTGATTTTATTTTACGCAGCTATAGTTGGCTATGACATGTGTTGGATGAAGGCAGTAGCCCCGCGCACCCCCCAGACACACACACACCATCACCCAGCTGCGTTAATCTTACCCGCTCAGCCCACCAGATGGACGCAGTCCGCTTGGTTTCTTCTCCAGGAGTCTCGACCTGCCTGCCAGCTTTCTTTATCGTTCCGTATCCCAAAATCACTGTAGGACATGGTTCGAGTCACTATCATGTTTTCCTCGATAATCCATACGCGGCTCACAGCCATAGAGAGGCATCCACCATCTACCGTAGAACTTCAAATTCCCACTAATATCCAAACTCTGCTTCGCATCTAAATCCAATGCGTCAAAAGCGAAGGAGGAGGCAGAAGCGAAGCGGTTGCGCAGCCGCTCCACGTTGGATAAATAACACGAGTGCTGCTGATGGCATCATTTGGAGCAATATCGGAAACTGTTTTCACATAAGTTAACAGTTTAAAAGGTTAAAACATGCGTAGTCTGTTGAACGACATGCTGCTGCTGCTGGCGAGAAAACGAGCGGTGGGAAAGTACTAGCGCAGAGAAGCGGTTACACCGGCTGGAGGCTAATTATCTTTTGTTAAGTACAGGTGTGGTGGCAGCCCCAGGTAACCGATTATAGCCTCTCGCTACAGGGACGTGTATTATGTCTCACAGCATCTGTCATAGCTCAAGCTCGCAAAATATGAAACGAAAACAGCCTGAAGAACCAGGGAAACCTGAAAGGTACTGTAGCACTACTAAATGCAAAGTGAAGTAATTTAATCTTATTTGTATTCTTTGTCTTATAGGTTTCACAGACTGAGGAGCATCACCGGAGGCCTAAAACACAGGATCTGCTCCGACTTGTAACCTGGCACGATCAATCATATCTTAATCTCCATCCAGCCAGAAAATCGTACGGGAAATTTTGAAAGTTTGTTGTAATCAAATCAATAAAAGTCACCCCAAAAAAAGACAAGAGTCTGGCTTTGATGCTCGATTTGTGCCGTAAATTGTATGAAGAGTTGGGTACTTTTAAACTCACAACTGAAAAAGTAGAAGTTTTACAAACAAATGTAATCAAAAGTAAAAGTGCTGGTTAAGCAAAATATCCACTGTATTATTATAATAGTGTCAGATCATTATTATTATCAACGTTTCAGTATATAAGATGTAGTAAATAGTGTACCTGGCCAATGTGGTGGTAATTTTGATTATATTATATTTATAGTCTGGTTCATTAAGCTTTAATAAATTACCATATTTGATCAACTCTTAATATTGTGCATTTTAAATCTTAATCTGAAAAGAAACTTAAAAACTACAGATAAATGTAGTATGCTATGTATATGTAGTGGAGTAGCTAGTATAATATGAAGTAAAAGTATAAAGTAGCATAAAATAGTTTTGGAGTAAAAGTGTGTGTGTGTTACTTTACATCACCGGTAGTTACGCCCCTGCTCTGTCACACACAGCCCAAGATTTCTGTCTCACAGCCTCTGTGTAATATATATTATATTATTATTATTATGTAGATTACATGAGAATAGTTTCAGCACAGTGGACAGAGCTCAGTGAAGACTGTCTGGCGCCCTCTATTGGCCACATTAGTTAGTAACAGGAACAGTGAGAATATTTTTGTAAAATACAAGGAAAATAAATAAGCAAAAAGGACAATTTTTAAATAATGTAAATATGAAGTTGTTTCTCAGACAAAGTAGATGTTGTAAAATATATATTTTTTCCTCATTTTTGTCCAAATTGATATCAATCAATATATAGTGAGGTAACTTAGTGAGATTGTATCATTTATACTCGTTTTGTGTCTCTGTAGTTATTTTATTCCTTTTTGTTTTGCATCTCTTTGTATAACTGAGCTGTAAGACTTACAAATAAGAAATATTTGCAGCTACTTCATTAGGCAGGTCTGGCACAGGGGCCCCTTAATCTCTCAAGCTTGTGGTTTTGTGCCTGATGGGCCCATGTGGTAAACTATCAGTGATTGTGAGGTTTCAGAAAGGCGCTGGTTTGGGCATTCCTCTGAACTCCTTTATTCTCTATGGGGAGTTCCATCGCTGGGATTTATTATACTGCCAAATAAACAGCAGATAAAAAAGAACACTTGAAGAAAATGCTTGAACATGTTTAGAAAAGGGCAGCTTTGTGTGAGTTTTGTAAGCTTGAGGAACACCTGTTTCACTCCTCCTTAACACTTTCATTTAACTAAAATCTCCTGACCTTTTTTGACTGAGGTAATCCATAATAGTGAAGTGTGTGTGTGTGTGTGTTTTATTGTTGCCGTATTAATGCTATCACTGTTTTGAAATGCTGTTAGTGTAGACCGCTGTGCACTCTGTGCAAAAATATTTGTCTCTGCAGCTTAGACAAAGGTTAGAGATGCAGGCAATCTGTTTCTTTGCAGTCAGTCTCACCATGTTTCTTCACATTAATCCCACACACTATTATTACCATAAACACTGTCTCCAAAGCTTAAAATGCTCCAAAACAACAAACTAGAGGATACTTCTACAGTTATTTCCCAATAAAAAACAAATAAACTCACAAATTGCACTTTAACAAGAATTTTGTTTAATTATAAGTGATTAAGAACAATGAGAGCAAGGAGGATTGCGATAAATCTTGGCAGTGGGATGACATCTTATCCTCCCAGGAGGGGTCTGTATCTAAATGACAGTAGATGTGATCATTTCAGTGGGACAAAGGTGTGATTTGCCTCTTGAATGTGCTGAGCTTGTACTTTGTCAGAACACTGCTGATACCAAACCCGTGCCAGGAGCTGCCCAGTGACACAGCAGTTTACCAACACTCACCTGTTACGAAGCCCTGCTGGAGTAAAGTTCCTTGTCCAGGAGCACTTCAGCAGCAGTCTGTGAAAGACAGAACAGGACCATGTTGTTCATTTACATTCCCTAAGCAGAAAGGTACTGCAAGATTTCCACAGGTACATTTGTTTCCAGGTTAGGGTTACCAATGTGCTTACATCTTTTAAATGTAAAATTCTTTTCTTATGGCTATCTCTTAACTGATGTTAAATTATTATCTTTTATGTTGTGGAATGTAATTGCATTTTTATTCTTTGGTTTGCTCTAAAGCACTTTGCAACTTTATAATTAACCCTATTAATAAAACATGCAATGAAAATAAAGTGAGCATTATTAAATAATAAAGAAATGAAACTGAAGATTAAACTACTTTTTCCTGTTTTCGAGTTGAGCTCACATGAGGTGGTACATATTGTTATATTTCCTCTTTGTTTATTCATTTATTTGACAGGGACAAATACACATTGATTAACATCAGAGATGTAAATGTGTCAGAGTTTCATCTGTAAGTCCCTGGGCAGGATGATGTTGTTCAAAAAAAGAAAAAAAGGGTACGTACATATATTAAGTGTGTAAGCAAAGTGCAAGTAAATATATTATAATACATAACTAAATACATAAATTGGTGTTCAAGATAATTTATTCATCAACAAACTTAATAAATAGATATCTACATACATAAACAAACACATTATCAGATGGGTTTTTAGATAAAGGAACTGGTGTTTTTCTTTCTCTATTTAACCACACACATCTAATTCGGTGTGTTTGCCCTTTAAGTAGGATATGCTTATCTGCATGTTGCGAAATTTGTAATTCACATGTCAAACCGTTTACACTGCATCCACAAAAACGAGTCGTTTAACTTTCTAATACTTTTTCTGCACAAGTTATTACTGTTAGATTAGATCAATCCAAGCTGCTGTGGGCGCAGTTTGCAAAAATGGCGTCTGGCACAGGCTGAGCCATCAGTGACCACAACAACATTAGTGCATTAGAAGTCATCTCCCAAGAATGACGCCTGCCGCTGAATCAAGACTTGCGCTGGACAAGCAAACCCATACAAACCGCCTTCATCATGGGGAAGTACGGCCGCTCTGATGCAGATGTTCCTGACGAACACGGCAATGAACATTTCCACGGATGCCAGGAGACATGATCGCCTTTCACTTAATTATCTCCCGTTTACTATTGAAGAAGTGACCTTCTTTGAGGCGGAAGATGTCAGCGCTGAAAAAGGTAAGAAGGATGATGCACAGTGTCGTGTTTGTGCACGAACCGAGCCCTGCAGCGCAGCCTGTTATTTGTTGTTACTAGATGATTATCTCACCTACATCATGTCTGATGGAGGTCTCAGGTTTGACCAGCTGATGCCAGGGTATCGCACCTGGTCATGCAGACCCTAAGTGTAAATTTCAGACAAACTGCCTGAAGTTCTGCACAGCATGAGTCACTCGCTGAATCGTTGTTCACTTGTCGAGGTTCCCCCTGCACCCGTTTATCAACAGCGCTGAATGATGCATGGTGCGTGGGTGAGCTGTTGTGAAAATTAAAATAGGGTACATGTCTCTGGAGATGGAGGGAGGGAGGGAGGGAGGGGTATTCTTCCCTTGGCGAAAGCCACTTGTGAATGGAGCTTCCTCCCTCAAGTTTCTTCTGTCTGTAAATGCGCACACATGCCCACTGTGCCGCTCTCCTCCATTCAGTCAATGCGTATATGTGCCTGGAGTGACTCAGCTGTATTGTACTATATCTGTCATCCATCTTTTCATCTGTCACAGGTGTTACCATGGCTACTACAAACTCACTGCTGTCTTTTCTTTGAGGACCCAGGTAAGAGGTGGGAGGAGTGATGAAGGCACAATCAATCAGCTGCTCCTAGTTTTTACATATTTCATAATGGCATCATAGTAGGAGGGAGCTGAAGGAATGAGCGTGTTGGCCATGTCTGCTGTTGGCATATGCTAATCGGTTCAACTTTTTTCAGAGACCACAGGGATAAGTCTGCTAATATTCAACATTTTTCAAATTGTCAAAGAATCCCAATAGAAGACCAGATTGATCATAACAAGTTCTGCCTGTGCAGTAAAACTCAGAAAACTGTTATGTTTGTTATGTCTATGTGCCATAGATCTCAGCTGTTGCTAAAAAATATTAAAAACATTAATGAGCCACATTGTTATATAGTAGAATACAGACATTTTAGCACAGCCCATCAATAATTCGTTATTCTAAACATACATACTGTTGTATAAAATATTGAGTTCAGCCACCAACCTACGTTGCAGGTCCTCTCCTGTCTCCCCTGTTTCCTGTCTGCGACCCACTTAGCCTATAAAAATAATAAACCCCCCCACTAAAAACTACATCAGTATATACTGTAAAGGAAACTATATATGTGTCCTGTTTTCAGTTATTTCCTTCTTCAGTAGTAGCCAAATGGCTTGGGACTGAAAGCCTAATGACCGGTTTAGACTACACAGTTTAAACTCGATAACACCCCGACCTGATGGTCGTAGGGCATCAGAACTGACAAACGGCGTGGGACACGACAATCAATCATTTCATCTTGTATAGTGTGTCATAATAATTGACAACAGATGCTGAGTCTGGGATGCCTCACAACCTCCTGACGTCCACAGCATGCTGTAGCAACGCCGTCCAACAGGAGCACAGACTGCTCTTGTCTTCATAAGTTTTTTGGCATATTGGACTGAACCATATTCATTAAATATCAGCGTGATAGATCTAATATTAGACTACTGACTTTCACAGTCAGCCTTGTGCGGCTCAAATCATTTGGTACTGTGCAGAAAGTGCACAGTGGGTCTATCAGAGCTTTTCCCACTATAAACTGCTGCCTGTGGAGGCTACACACTATGTTGATGAGAGCAGTGAGACTGAAGTAAAACCAAAACACTGAGCTGAACAACATTAAAACACTGTAAATCTGAGTAAAACTGCACAGCTTGGTGATAATTCTCCTTTGAAATTACACAGTAATTTTATTAATATAAAAATACTGATTAGTGTTAAACGACAGTGAAATTCAACCGGTCTTTTAGATAAGTGTTAGCGCACTTCTCTTTCAGAGCCAAGGATCGAGACCTGTATGTGTACACTCTAAGTTTATATAACATGAGATCTGTTACAAATGACTTGTTCAAGAAGTGTCCCATCTGCTCAGTGCATGATGGGAAAATCCTTAAAAAGATGAGGTGGGTAAATACAGCTAATAACCCTCAGATAGTGCGGCGGAGGTGTTAGCTGTTGTGGTGTGGAGAGTTTGCACATAAAATACAAAGGAGGTTGCCGTTAATTAGTTGAACTCCACATGACGTCTCTCAGCAGTGGTCAGTGCACTGAGAGCCATCCAAGGAACAACCACTGCAGGGGTCTGCTGCCTTTCTCTTGGCATTTTTAGGATCACTGAGGATGATCAGATGCTGGGCTCACATCAGCACAAACCTCAGACGTGACACAATCACTGAGATGCTTTTGACACTAAAGGCCTAGATGAAATCATGAAAATGTAAATATCAATTTTGTGAATTTTAATTTACTTAAATACCACAGAGTGGAACAAAAGCAGGCATCCTACTGATCTCGATGATATGAGAGCAGAATCTGGTTGTTGCAAGGGGGATTTGTTTTGTTGGTCATCGCTGAACAAACATTCTGTAGTCAGGTTTGGCTATTTTTACACTGATGCTTTACCTTTTTTCCTCCCATTCATTATCTCAGGTACCTTCTTCACATTTAGACCAGCACTAATTGTGTGTCAGAAGGATCTGGGATTTGACAGCAGGGATCCTATATGTTGTTAATTACTTCCCAAAAATATCTTTTAAGCATTAAAACAGGCTGACAGTGGCGTTTCAGCCTGACCACACACACACATCTGAGATGATCTGTGAGTTAATCATGTGTAGGGCTCTGCTGTGATTATTCGGGCTTTCTCAGCACAGAAATCTCCTGATGAAATGAATGTGGAACATTCAGGAAGATCACAGCTTGTGCATAACCTAAAGAATTAAGAGTTTTTCTCTCCTTTATCAGACATCCACAGAGCCGCTCTTGATCATTCCTTACTCATCATTTTCTCAAGACTGAGGCAGAATGTTAATGACTGTGGGGAGCAGATTGCTTTAAGGAATATAAAACAAGCAGGACCAGTAGCAAGAGCTCAAGCTTTTAACATTAGCACGATGAGTGTTTCAAATTTGTTATTTTTATGGTTTTTAAATAGGATTATAGCACGGATGTGTAAATCTAAATCTTAGTGATATGCCACTAGGTGGGACTGTTTGATAACATACATAAATGCTGCTATGACATATCTACTGGTGTATTTCAAACACTGGCCATTTCGAATCCAGTACAGACTGTGTTCTGTGTTGACTTGGGAAAAAAAAGTACTTAGTGGGGTTATGCTGCTCAACAGTTTGTGTACACAGCAGTGCAAGAATACATTTGTTAGGTCAAAGACTGTATTGCGTCTGCTGTTGTTCTCAAAGAAACCCTTTTTCTAGTTCCATTTAGATTATCATAATGACTCCAGTGTGGTGGCAGCTCTTGTGTTGTTCCTATAGTCTTATTATTTGCCATAGTTTAGGTGTAATAACTCCCAGAAAAGCATTATTCCTTCTACACAGTGAAATATCTCCCCATTTAGGTTTTTTTTTTAGATTATGCTCTCAAATGAAAGTGTGTGTCAATTCAAAATGGGGCTACACTCACTATTCCAATTGCATTTGGCAAAAATGGCTGGTTGAGCATCTCAGAGCATGGGACCCCTTATGGTGAGGAGGACTTTGTTCTTAACTTTCAATCTTTAAAACTGTCCTCTATGCTTTAGAAAACTGATATATATATACATATACACAGTGTATACTGATTTGTCGTCAGTCTGTATGCATTGTATAATGAAATAACCAGTTTTTAAAGGTGTAGAGTTGCTGGTTTAAGCCATTATGAAAACATATGGGACTTTAGTACAGCTTCAGCACAACAGCGACTGAACCTCATGGCCCTCATATTAATGACTCCCACAGCTCAAGAATTCAAAGCATTACAGATGCGTCACGACTGTTTAACAATGGGCAAGAGTGGAATGTGGGTTGAAAACCTTTGTCTCTTTCTCCTTCGCTTCAGCACATAAGAAGCATAGAAAAGAGGAGAAAATGACTCATCAGACGATATAAAATTTTTTCCCCCTCATCAAAGCATCTAGGCTTGGGCTCCTACTGTATACACAAGGTCTGTGAGTTGGCTTTGTGTTTCCATGTCCTTATTTTCTGTTTGCATCAGCTATTGCTGATACATCTTTTTAATCAAGAGAAGGAGCACTCACATCTCTTGAGTAGCACCTTGACTCCTCCGGAATACCAATAAGTCTTATGCTGGGTTTCAAATATGATCCTTTACACATCTGCATTTATTCCTCTCTCACATTGTCTCTCAACCTTAGAAGCTCTGCTGTGCTGTAATACAGAGAAGGAGTGGGAACGAGAGGGGAATGTGAAAGCGGTCTCACTTCAAGAGTTCTACTGGTTGGTGAACTGTGCCGTTCTAATTTGGATAAGAGGTCGTCTCAGGACTTCAGAAGACAGAGTGTGACCAAGACTCACGCTGTAATTTTCTTGGATCTGTTGCAGCGTTTACCTTAAGTGGAACTGGTGTGCTTCTGTCATTCAGCTTTGTTTAACTTTCTCTATGGACTGTATGTGCTTTAAACACCTGCACATGGCCACAGAAACGTGTCTGATCTTGGTGACGTCAGTAGGGTCCCGACAAGACCAGGGAATGTCTTCCTCCCCTTCAGTCGGAGGAGTGATGTCATCGTAGGGAGAGCGTGAGGTTGGCTGAGGCTTTATTGAGATTGACGTTTTATTACCAAGAGCACCAGAAGTATGACCACATGCACCAGTCAATATGAGGGCACAGAGCAGGAAACCTGAGAGCCAAATAACACTGCAACACGTTGGTGACTCATTATAAAGCCCCCAAGAGGAAAAAGGAGTGTGAGGCAAAGGCATAAAGGCAGAGAAATGCAGATAATAACTCAGTGAGGCACAGCACTGAGTGTGCATGCTGATGGGGGCAGGAGAGCGTGGAGCCACAGAGCTGCAGAATCCTGAATCCAGCAGATGGAGACTCTGTGTCCTTGTTTTGCGGTGATCTGTGGGAACAACATGCAGCTCGCGCTGCTGCCTCGCACTGCTGCAGTGGAGGAGTAAATGCGGAGCCCAGCACTGCTCCAGGTGATCCACAGCAGCCCAGCCCGGCAGACTGCTCCCTCCTCAGCCTTCCCTCTCCTCCACCTCCTCCTTCTCCTCCTCCACCTCTTCCTCTACCTCCTCTTCCTCTTCCTCCTCTGTCAGTGCTCCATTCCTCTGAAGGCTTAAAAAAAAGAAGAAAGGAACAGAAAAACAGAGGAGAAATCCTGCTTTCCCCCTCTGTTCTTAGATGCGAAACATCTCTGCATGACTGTCCACCGCTTCCCTGTCATCGTGTGAAGACACTCTGCATATGTGCTCCAATGTCTCCGGAACATAGGCTCACTGCAAGGTAAGAAGACTCCGAATCGTCCAGAAAAATCTGATTTGGTCTTTGCTTATTTTGTCTTTTGCTCGAAACATTTTCTGCGGAACTGTTAGAGCCATGTGTGTATGAATTTAACAGGTAGATGAGAAGTTGCCACGACAGATTGGGTAATTGGTATTCCTTGCAACAGATAGAAATTGAAAAATGCTCCCGGAGAGAGAGATCTTTGTCAGATATGACAAATACATTGGTCTTCAGTTTTGGAGGAAAACCACCTCTTCTCCCCC